GTTAATCTTCTACAATCTCTTGTTTGTGCAGTGTGTATTTCTAGGCGAATGGAGTAAATTTCAAGAAATGAAAAATATTTAATTTCCCCCCCATCTTAGAAAATTACTCTCCATTATTGTGTTTTGTGAAATAGAAAAAAAAGCAAAATTGATTATATTAGTAAGGCGTGAGAAAGTTGAGTTTTGATAAATCTTTTTTTTTTTCATTTTATATGGGGCGGGCGTGGCCTAGTGGTTAGCATGCCAGCCTACAAATTCGAGGGTCCAGATTCTGAAATATCGTTTTCCGTACGTTGGAGTCGCAGATGCATTATAAGAGTGACAGTAAAATATCACTATTCCATTAGAGTAGCCCAAGAGTTAGCGTTAGATGCTGTTGACTAACTATATCTAGTCTATCAGTTAATATTAGGAATGAATAACTCAGATAGCTCTTCTGTAGCTTTATGGAAGTATCCGAAACAAACAAATAATTGTTCTCTATACTTATAGGACAGTTTCTATTTAACTTAGTTAGTAATTAAACTTAACATAAAAAAAACAACTTTCCTGTGAATTGAAAAGCCATCTCTTTCTTAGATGACCGTTCTGTTCAAAATAATTCCTTAAAATAATTAATTATTCAAGTCAAGTGACATTACAGAAAGTGATCAGTGACATTACAGAAAGTGATCAGTGACACTACAGAAAGTAATCAGTGACATTACAGAAAGTGATCAGTGACACTACAGAAAGTAATCATTGGCATTACAGAAATTGATCAGTGACACTACAGAAAGTAATCATTGGCATTACAGAAGTTGATCAATGACATTACAGAAAGTGATCAGTGACACTACAGAAAATAATCATTGACATTATAGAAAGTGTTCAGTCACATTACAGAAAGTGATCGGTGACATTACAGAAAGTGTTCAGTCACATTATAGAAAGTGATCGGTGACATTACAGAAAGTGTTCAGTGACATTACAGAAAGTGTTCAGTGACATTACAGAAAGTGATCAGTGACACTAAAGAAAGAGATCAGTGATGTTACAAAAAGTGATCGGTACTGATCGTTCTGTTTTGATGTCCCGAGTTATGTGATCTGGGTTGTTGATTAATAATTTTTGTGTGGGTTGAATTTTCAACCTAAGTGACACGACAGAAAGTGACCAGGTTAAAAGAAAAGAAAAAACTAAATAAGAAAACTAGTCATACGTGCGATCTGGTTGCCGATTATTAATGTTAATGTGGTTTCGGTTTTTACCACTGCAAAGTTAGTATTATCCTAAACGAATTTTGTAGTTGATTACCAGAAAATTAAATTTGTTTTTAATGAGTTTTCTCTTGACACAATGTTTTTGTTTCACTTCAATTGTAATGAACTAAAAAACAGCGAAGAAGATCCCATTATTGATTAGTCGTCTACATTTTTCCATATGTTTATTCGAAGTAAAGCACTTAATGATGTTGATAACACAATAATCTGTTTTGTTACAATGTTTTTATTACTTACGTTTTAATCGGATTACGTCGCTACACCCCAATCAGATTTAACAGTGATAGGTCCGTCAACTCTCACAAAACCTGATAAATTACGATCTTATTGATTTAATTTAAAAGCTTACTAGTGCCCCCTTTTAAGTCAATTGTTTTAGTTTAATGTTTACTATTGTCCCCTTTTAAATCAGTTGATTTAGTTTAATGTTTACTAGTGCCCCTTTTAAGTCAGTTGTTTTAGTTTAATGTTTACTAGTGCCCCTTTTAAGTCAGCTGTTTTAGTTTAATGTTTAATAGTGCCCCTTTTAAGTCAGTTGATTTAGTTTAATGTTTACTAGTGCCCCCTTTTAAGTCAATAGTTTTAGTTTAATGTTTACTAGTGCCCCCTTTTAAGTCAGTTGTTTTAGTTTAATGTTTACTAGTGCCCCCTTTTAAGTCAGTTGTTTTAGTTTAATGTTTACTAGTGCCCCCTTTTAAGTCAGTTGATTTAGTTTAATGTTTACTAGTGCCCCTTTTAAGTCAGTTGTTTTAGTTTAATGTTTACTAGTGCCTCCTTTTAAGTCAAATGATTTAGTTTAATGTTTAACATAATTTTTAACACACACACACACATATTGCATTTATAGCTGCTACAAAAAAGCAGTTGTATAAGTTGTTAATTTTTGAAACTTCTATTTTTTTACGTGGCGAGCTATATTACTTACTGAAGTAGTAAATATTTGTTTAATTAGTGCAAGTGATTCAGTCAGTTACGATGAATCATCAATGGACAAAATGTCATGTTTTTTTTTTTAGGAATGTAAGGGAGTCTTGTTGAATTAATCAGTTATCAAAATGTTAGCAACTTCTCCCGAGATAATCAACAGGAATGAGCGAATAAATAAATGCAAAAAATTATTTCCTTTATATCTTAACCTAAAAGATAACGATATCATAATGTTAAGTCAGAGGTTTATAGTTGTGTTTATTTTAATTATTATTATTTTGATTACATTGACAAAACACTTTTTGTTCTGGGAATATTTTCTTTCTCCACATCATGTCTGATTCAGATTGGTTCACTGCATTATAATTGAGTTGAATATAATGAAGAAAACATGTAATTGAGATTTTGCTAAAACGTAGGAAAAAAATAATTAGGAGTGTGTTAACTAGCCAAATCTTGAAAATGTGTGCTCGCTGGATTGAAGGGGTGGTCTTTTTTAAAGATTCCTTTCTGCGGCCCTAAGCCTGAATCAAATCCATCTACCACTAAGACATCATTTTGGGTATTACTAAATGATTTTAGTCACGTCAGCAACTGGAAGAACTGTGAGCTGTTATCGGATTAGTTTAAAGAGTCATTGGCTACATACTGCAAACCTTATCTAATGTCTATAACCGATAGAAATAAGCTAACGAGGACACGTATTAAATGGTGCAACATGCTAGGCCTAAGTTCGGTAGAGTCATTATTATCATTTTTAAACTACGGAATTGTTTACATCCATATACGTCCTATACGACGTTTTTGACTAAGGCAGTGTTTGTATAAAGTTTGTAGATTGCCATGAACTTTTTAAAATCCTCCGGTGTTCAGCGACAATCTTGGGGGCTTATAACACTAGAATTCGGGGCTCAATCCTTGCGGAAGACACAGTGCAGCTTAAAGTTAAAAGACAAGAAACACTAAATCAGAAACTAGTTAATTAATTTAGTTGAATTAATAAATTTACTTGTATGAATATCAAAGTAACGTAATCCATTCTTCTAAAAAAATAAAAATAAAGAAAGAAAAAGAGAGAGGGAGAGAAAAGGAGATAGAGAGAAAAAAATTACACGAAGGCTAATTTATCATTCGAGCCAGTTTCAGAGGATAAAATATTTATTCAGATAAATTTCACTTCAGTAAAATTATATTAAGATGGAGAACTTACTAAAATGTGTTGTGGTATGGTAGATGCAATAGTCTTTAATCTGTTACATTTTCCCTGAGTGTAAAAACTCCGACTCCCTCATCAGAGGTCATAAACATTATTCAGCAAATCGTGTTACCTTTTCAAGCCTTGTTCAGTTGTGTTGCAATTAATTTTTTAGTGAAGCAAGGTATTATGATAAAGTTGTAGCTGCACTGCCATCTATTATTATTTTATTATTATTTTTACATAAAATTAAAAATGTTGTTTCAGATAGTCTGTCAGTGCTTCTCAAGGGAACAAATAAGCTTCACAGCCGAAGGTGTTTGACCTTTCCAGTTCTCTCCTTGCTTTATAGTTTTACTGTTGTGTAGTTCTTGAATAAACGCATCGTCACTCACTTCCTTGTTTCCATTTTTCATGCCTCATGGCTTTCGCTTAACTTAGGTAAGCCCTCTGGTGGTGTGTCACCCAGAATTTCTCTAATATTCAGTATAAGCATTTGATCACACACAGTAAAACAAAATTGTTCTGTTCCATCTGGATGCTTCAATCAGTTGGGAAAAGCACAGGTTGAAAGTAAAGCTACTTACCCTAACCTTTGTCTGTGACCAAAAAATTTCCTGAAACTTTCTGACAGTGAAATAATGTGAACTTTACGTTATTTATAGACTTGCATTCAGAGCAAAATATTCCAGTTTAATGACAAAAGATAGGTATAAAGTTATACTTCATTTCAATGAATTAGTTTTCAACCTAATTGCAATTTCAACATTATATTCTGTGCTACATCTGGTTGGAGCGACTAGCAAAGTTTAATGTTGAATGATATTAGTTTTCAATCTAATTGTCATTTCAACATTAGATTCTGTACTACATCTGGTTGGAGCGACTAGCAAAGTTTAATGTTGAATGATATTAGTTTTCAATCTTATTGTCATTGCAACATTAGATTCTGCACTACATCTGATTGGAGCGAATAGCAAAGTTTAATGTTGACTGATATTAGTTTTCAATCTAATTGTCATTTCAACATTATATTCTGTACTACATCTGGTTGGAGTGAATAGAAAAGTTTAATGTTGACTGATATTAGTTTTCAATCTTATTGTCATTTCAACATTATATTCTGTACTACATCTGATTGGAGCGAATAGCAAAGTTTAATGTTGACTGATATTAGTTTTCAATCTAATTGTCATTTCAACATTAGATTCTGCACTACATCTGATTGGAGCGAATAGCAAAGTTTAATGTTGACTGATATTAGTTTTAATGAGTTTAAAGAATACTTGCCGTTTTCTAAAAATAACCAATTTCTGTTCAGGTATGTTGTTATATTGATTTTTTTCATGCTAGTTTCCCTTATGTCACAAATCTACTAGATATTTCATACGGCATTTTCTAAGAATGTTCAAACGAGTCTCAGTTTCAAAAAAGGTTTACTCGTAGGCCATTTTATGTATGTTACACATATTAATCTTTAAAATTGATGATTATGGCATAACGAATTTGTCTGGAGTTTCAGGAACTTAACCACTCATACTGACAGCTTAATTTAAGAAAAAATTGTGAAAATTTATCAGACTTAGTATTTATCATCTCCGTGTGTGTGTTTCTAGATTCTGTTTCTAAAAAAAAAAACTTGGCAAGGACGAAAATCAACAACATATCCGAGGGACTTATCCGGCGATATATAGCAGCGGAAGGATTCCACATCATCACAACTTTAGAGTTGGTCAGTCATCAAAACGGGGACAGGCGTCACACTCAAGTTCGGAAGAAGTGAAATTGGCTATTTCGAGTAGGAAGTGACGTCAGTTGGTTCTAAAAGAAATTAACGTGACGACAGCTAATTATAGAATGGGTCGGAAAAAGATTCGTATATCGAAAATCACCGACGATCGCAACCGCCAGGTAAACAAGTACAACCGAGTTGTTGTTTATCTGTTTGAAGTGGTAGTGCTTTCTAATAAACAGTACGTTAACCCTAGAATTAGCAATGAGTACTCCATCGGTCTTTTAAACCCATTTTCTAGACAACATATGCACCAAATTACTTGTGGGTCCATGAATTTGTTGGTTACAGGACCCATAGTAACATATGAGTCATACAAAAAATTAAAACACAATATACCTTCAACATTGAGGTTTATTTCACTCATTGCTGCTGAACTCCCCATGTATATTTTTGCACAGAAAATAAGCTTTTTCGTTAACCTGTTTCGGTCAAACTCTGTGTTTTAACATGCAAAAATATAAAATTGTTTATTGTGATGCAGTGTTAAAATTTGTAAAATAAGTCGGTAATCTGAGGGTTAAAGGACGATATAATAAACAATGCCAATCTTAGTTGATGCGAGACCCCAAGCAGCAGGATAATCAGACCACACAGTCAACTTAGAGGTCGCGCGCTCCAGAGGGGTTTAGGGAGCCTTGTCTCCCTCATTGATTTTTTTACAAAAGTAAAGCTAAAATTAGATGTCTTTTATTTTTGGGAATTAAACATCTCGTGTGTATATTTTTTTGCGTTTTTGCAAGAGGTAAAGAATAATAAATACATTTTAATTTCAAATATTACTTTTTATCTCACCAATGCCCCCCCCCACTCGTTGCCTCAGTGGTAAGTTTTGGGGGGCTTAAAACGCTAAAATTCAGGGTTTGATCCATGCGGTGGACACACCTCAAGTAACCCATTATTGCAAGCTTTGCGCTTGAACAAATGAATCTTAGTGCGAGACTCCAGGCGGTTGCTTGTTCTCATACAACCGGCACTGATCAGCAATTGATTACGAGTTGGCGTGTACTGGTTGCTTGAAGATCTTAACGTTATATGTTCTGTTATTATGAAAAAAGAGAGTCCTTTCTAAGAGCACTATCGCAGTCTCAATCATACTTTCATTACTAGTGTGTGAATTTGCACTGATATAAACTTTAACGTTAGCGAAATTATATACAAATATACATACTCCGCCTCTCAAACAGTGGAGGCCTAAACTGATAGCAAATCTAATAATTTTTCATTGCCTTGACAAACTAATGCCGATTATTAACATTTTGTTGTCAAAAAAAGTTTCATACTTGTTGTAGAAGCATAGAAGGAATGGTAACTAATGTTTAAAAAATATATCTAGTGTGTTTAAAATTTAAATAAATATATTGGAGGTTAACTTATTATTATATGTACGAAAGACAGTCTGCATAACTGTACAGGGTGTGTGGAAATTATGTCAATATTTTCTTAACAGAAGTAAACAATCTTGATAATATGACATTCAGACACTTTGTATGTATATATAAAACTTCTTTTATTACTGCAGACGAACCAGGTTTCGTTTCTGTTTTGTGAAGTTAATATATGCTGTCGTTTCCCACATATCCATTATCATTATTACTCGCATTGTTTCGAAGTTTTATGACCCCCCCCCCACCAGTGGCAAAGAGGTATGTCTACGGATTTACAACGCTTTGTGCTTAATTACAAACAAACAAACAAATCGAAGTTTTATTCAGTTTATTCAGACTTCTGTAACAGCAAAAAAATAAAATAAAATGAAATAAATGCGGAAAATTGTCGTTATATAGAACTAGCTAGTGTGCACACATAAAAGTACAACTTGAAAATTAATATTTAAAAAATATATCCAATGATATTTTGAAAAATATTCTCTTATTATATATTAAAAAACATTATATTATGATATGTTGAAAAGAAATTCTCTTTCAAAGTTGCCCCCCCCCCCAGTGGCACAGCGGTATGTCTATGGACTCACAACACTAGAAACTGGGTTTCGATACCTGTGGTGGGCAGAGTACAGATAGTCCTTTATGAGGCTTTATGCTTAACTAAAGACAAACAATCTTTTTAAGTTGTATTCAGTTTTTCATTTATTACTAAGAGGTTTCTGTAAACAAAATGCGGAAAATCGCCGTTTTATACAGGAAGCTAGTGTGCACAAATAAAAGTACAACAGAACGTTAATGTTAGAAAATATCTCCTATGATATTTTGAAAAAATAGGGTAGAGTATTTTGCCCCCCAGTGGCACAACGGCATGTCTGCAGACTTACACTGCTGGAGACCGGGTTTAGATACTCGTGGTTGGCAGAGCACAGATAGCCCATTGTGTAGCTTTGTGCTTAACTACAAAAAAACTTATGGTATTTTAAAAAAATCTCTTATGATATTTTGAAAATTTTTCTTATGATATTTTGAAAAAAGAATTCTTATGACATTTTGAAAAAAAGAATTCTTATGACATTTTGAAAAGAAATTATGATATTTTGAAAATTTTTCTAATGATATTTTGAAAAAGAATTCTTATGACATTTTGAAAAAAGAATTCTTATGACATTTTGAAAAGAAAAATTTATTTTATGAGCAGGTGACTTTCACCAAGCGGAAGTTTGGACTTATGAAGAAAGCTTATGAACTGAGCGTGTTGTGTAACTGTGAGATCGCACTGATCATTTTCAACAACAGCAATAAGCTATTTCAGTACGCCAGCACAGACATGGATAAAGTACTGCTGAAGTATACTGAGTACAACGAACCCCATGAAAGCAGAACAAATAACGACATTATAGAAGTACGTATGGGACATTAACATCGTTTAATTGATCTTAAGATTGTTCCATTTGATAAATACCTAGTGTCATTGTGATGATCAAAGAAACAAAATATTTTCTTCTACTTTTAATCTCTGTTGATTTATTTTGTTTTTTCTGCTATAATGACTTGTCGATAATTTGTACCAAATTTATGTTTAAGCGTGTAATGTTTTTTTCTTTTGTCAGTGAGAAATGATTTTGTAGCTATTTCATAATTAGTTGGGATTTTTTTTTAACTATAGGCAATCTTTAAGAAGGAACACAAGAGTACAATAAATGAATGCAGTAGTCCCGACAATGATGTTGATGATTTTTCCCTTCCATCACAAAAGGACGAGATCTGTGCTCTAATGTCACGCAGTCCAAACCTGCATGGAAATAGGGTAAGACAATTGTATTAATATAAGATTCACAGCTGTATCAATCAGTTGCGGAAAATTTGAAGTTAAGTAGCTACACTTCTTCATAACGTGTTTTATTAAATGTCTTACGAAAAGAGTATATTATTCAAATAAGAAATATTATCAAATGTTAACGAACGTTCACTGAATACTGAGAAAAATTAGTACATAGCAAATAACAACATTTTTATTCAAGCTTTCATGTTTCTTAATTTTTTCTTACATTTTTTATATTGCTGCACATTGAATGGACTTATGAGAGTCTATTTCTTTCGAACATGCTTATTCATTTCAACTCACTACGAATGGCTTCATCCTTGCCAATTATGTTGAACATATGAATTACAGTTATTATTAAAGATTTTCTTTAAAAATGTGAAAAATTATAGTGTTATTTGAATAGTTACTAAGAACTTGTATTAAAAGATAAACCTTTCCCATGCTGTATGTATACTGTTTGAGGTATTTTAAGAAGATCCTATGTATATTTTGTACAAACAAATTTTATAAATTATCAGTTCTGTGAACCACAGCTGGCGCTGTTAAGTTATCATATATACCATATATTAAAGAAGGGTATCTCCCCATATTTAGTTCTGTTTTAGACGTATTATAGGAATTCAAAACGTACTTCCACGGTAAGATTTTATAATTTATGGATCTATTCATGATTTCTGGTAGCAACAGACGAATCCCAACCACATGACAGGACTCCAGGCGTTGTCTGTTCCCGTCAATAATACAGTGTACAGCACAAACAACGCTGGTCAGCTTATGCAGCTGTCGCCACAGGTGTCGCCACCTGCAACTCATAGTCCTCATCTCAGCCCTGCAGGTAAGTTCACTTGGTTCGCTGGATTTCCGTCATGTAATGATGAACGTGAATATTAAATAGTTTTCATTATAATGGTATTTTCATTTGGAATTTAAATTAGCACGATAGCCATATTGAATGAAAAAAAAAAGACAAACAATAGAATATTCTAAGATCATCATATGTCTCCCAAGGTTGGTAGCACAATAACAACTGTACTATTTTATGTTCAACATAAAAAAAAGCCTCAAAATTTAAAATAAAATAAAAGGATAAACTGAATTGAAGAAATGTCTTTTTTAAAATTTATTTGGAAATATACTCCTTTGAACGTGTAAGTTAACTCACGCATAGCTATTACCATATTGGGATTTTTAACGATCACGCATAGCTATTACCATATTGGGATTTTTAACGACTAACTACGTAACGAAAGTTGTAGAAATCTCTATTTTTATTTCAGGAAACATGCTGGAAGCTCCTCACTTGAACCCTCAAGATTTTCACCATAATTCCCGTGAAAACAATGTGACATTAGGAAACACCTCCCCTAGCGGCCTAAACTCGAAGCATCAAGGGTCTCTTAGTAGGCAACATCTTTCTCAAAATGACAATCGTTTGAATGGTCAATTAGTACTATCACATGGCAACAACAGAGCAAGTAACACAATGGTAAGGCAATATATATAACAACTAGCAGAGACCCGCAAAACATTTGCGGTTAAATTAGTATCTTTATTGCAACAGGAATTATTCAAATACAGGATTTCTAGAATAATACAAAAGAATTGTAATCGCAGACACCGAAATCTCTAAGTCCACTAGTCACCTAACGTTAGTTAAGCCTTTATTAAGTACGACCTATATTCGATATAGTGATAAGTTAACATTGTAACTTGTGAACGTTTTTTGCTTTAGTTTAATTAGGGCAAAACTTTACCGTAATTAATGCTATCAATATATAAACTTATAATGTTATTCTACGACCTAACGTTAGACCTTTTATAAACTTTGATAATATCGTAATAATAATAATATGTTGCTGTTTTACAAAAACTTTGCTGAATTATATTTACATCTGTCTTTTGTTTATATCCGTTAAATGCATGCACATTTAGATAGTAAGGTGCGCGCGCATTTTTTAGGATAAGCAAAAAGCTGAGAAAAAAATGTTTGTGTTTAAGTTTGGTGATTCTATTTCACAAATCGCATTTCTTAATTCCCGATTAGGAACAGTCATATCGAAATACATTACAATGTTGACAACTAAGAAACCCCGCAGTAGTATAACGCTAAAAATTGGGTTTCGATACCTGCGGTAGGCAGATCATAGATAATCCATTTTGTAGCTTTATGCAAAACAACAAACAAGCAGATAACTAAGAAAGAATAAAAATAAATGCTATTGTCGAACCATCTTATTGTTCCTTTGAAGGTGAAATGATGATGTTATTTTTTTTTTCATTTTTAACTCAACCAAAAGCTAGCTGTAAGCCTTGCGACAATTCTAAGAAATTAGCAAAACAGTATCTCGATAATGTTTGTTTGCTTTGTTTTTGGATGAATCGAGCACCTGATTTTAGCGTTGTAAGTCCATATACTTATCGCTGACTCACCAGAGAACTTCCGGTAATATTTTAGTTAGCAGCCATTGCGAGATCACGAGTCGGAAAAGATTTTAATTAAATAAAATCTGAGTGAAATCAAAGACTGCTTATCCCAGGGTAATAATATTTTTACTAAACATTTTGACCCGGGTGAGTCAGCGTTAGGTTCACGGATGTAATATGCTTAAAACCGGGGGCTTGATTACCTGCGGTGGACAGAGCGCAAATAGCCCATTGTACAGCCATGCGCTAAAAGAAACAATAAAAATCCTTTTTAGCTCAACATAATAAAAAAAATACCCCAAAACATGTATAAGTTAATTCTACATAAGACAAAATTGGATGAATATTTATTTATTTCTGAGCTGATGAATTTAACATTATCTTAAATACTTGTGTTACAATGTCCGAGGTATCTAGATTAGAAACAGTAATTAGAATTATTGTTTCAAATTTAACAATAGAAGGATTAATTCCTTCCAAAATAATCCTTGTATGGCAGAAACATTGTATTGTGCACACTTTGTGTCAAAATCTAGCCTATGCTACAGCTTATTACTTAATTAAAGATAATTAATATTCATCACCTAACTTCCTGTGACGCAAGATTGCAGTAACCGACATTTCATTATTAGCTTTACGTTGTTTAATTTATAAATCTAATAAATCTTTATTTGATATTCACCTCAGCATGAAACCAAATTTTATGAACGTGTTTTAAAAAATAGCCTTGCCAGATCTTCTTTTTTGAGTGAATTTTAGGTTTTACCGAATGTCATTTTCACTCCAGTCAGAAGGAGTTGTTGGACATGTTACGTATTTTGTATCATTTGTTTTTTTTCTGTTTTTGATATCTCCATACCGTTGTGTGTTTATGTAATGTAAAAAAATTTACAACACGTCACTTTCACTCCAGTCAGAAAGAGTTGTTGGACATGTTACGCATTTTGTATCATTTGTTTTTTTCTGTTTTTGATATTTCCATATCGTTGTGTGTTTATGTAATGTAAAAAAAATTACAACACGTTTAGAAAAAAACCTTATTTTTAGGTTTTACCGAATGTCACTTTCACTCCAGTCAGAAGGATTTGTTGGACATGTTACGTATTTTGTATCATTTGTTTTTTTTCTGTTTTTGATATCTCCATACCGTTGTGTGTTTATGTAATGTAAAAAAAATTTACAACACGTCACTTTCACTCCAGTCAGAAGGAGTTGTTGGACATGTTACGTATTTTGTATCATTTGTTTTTTTTTCTGGTTTTGATATTTCCATATCGTTGTGTGTTTACGTAATGTGTTTTTGATATCTCCATACTGTTGTGTTTTTATGTAATGTAAAAACATTTACAAAACGTTTAGAAAAAACCTTATTTTTAGAAAATACTCTAAGAATTAATTGTAATTATTCAATGTGTAAAATATAAATCAAGTGATTTCACTGTTGTAAATGGAGACCTGGAATAGTTGTTACATTAAAAAAAATTGTTTCCTTAAATAAAAACATAAAGGTATAATTAATTACTATTTTCTACTCACATAGAGTAGTATCGATGCTTATAAAAACAAAATATAAAATATTTGGATCTCACATAGTTTCTAATATACATCTTCAGTTTTAACTAAACGTCAGCTGTAACAATGAGCCCCTTTAAACAAGGAATGCTCTGACACCTAGTGAGGTACTCTGTTACATCCAAAATAATTGGTTGGAACAAACAACTAAATTACCAAGTCGTGTAAGTGGATACTGGAGTAGCCAGTAAAAGAAACTTCCAATTCGGATAAATGTGACTATTATTAAACCAAAAACAATCGTACTGGGACTTCAGTCCATGGAGTCTTAACAGTGGGGTCACACATAATACGGATTTCTCTCAGTGCACTCAAAATGGGACCTCTCTTTACAATTCATTTTCTGCACTCACTTCTCTAGGAGCAAGATGGGACCACTCCTTACAATTCATACACTGCACCCACGTTCATGCAGGAGCAGAAAACAAACATTCGGAAACAACCTGCTGCTTTGAATGTTTTATTTTCCACAATTTTGTCCTTTGCTTCATAACTTTCTTCTGAGCAGTTTTCAATAACCTTTGTTTTTCAAGTGCTTTGATTAATATAGCAGTGTGGCGTTGTTTTTTCTAGGACTGACTTTTTAAACAGATTTCTGTATTTTTGGCGACTTTACTTGACCATATGTAATAACTAGCCCCACAATAAGTCAACTATATTTATCCCCAGGTACACCGAAAAGAAAAAATCACTGATCACAACTATACATTTGAAGTTTGTAATACACATTTTTCCATTATATATATATATACAGTATGTGTGTGTGTATTCAAATTCCAATAATGACAATTTTCGTATTCCAGTCTCCTCACATGACCCATCCCTTGGTAGCTACTTTACCAATGTCATCATCACACATGCGTGGAATTAGCAGTTATCCGTCCAATGGGGTTTCTCCTTCTTTTCAGCCAGGTAACTAGTAGCTTTTTTTCTGAATATATTATTCAAATGTAGCCAATGAGTAGCTCACTTGTTTTATGTTAATGGCTGTCATGCCTTTTTTTTTTCAAAATGAACCTCAGTTTTGGTGATAGAAAAACGGATAGTATATGTTATCCACAGTTTAAGAATTCAAAGTTAATTCTAGATTAAAAGATAGCTAACGTGCATTCATAGCAATTGTAGGTTTCTGAAAAGAAGGTTATCTATTAAATTTTAAAAGCTTACAGTATAAAGATGGGAATCAAAATATTTATTACATGGCACAATACTTAAAAACAGGTTTTGGTCACTGATTTTGTTATTTAAATCGAATATCTTTATTACACTCATTTCGTTTAACATAATGAAAATATAAATGCAAATTTCACAGATACTTTAATGTTGTAGATTAAGAAAAAGTCAGTTCATTTATATATTTACAATTTTAAAATAATAGAAAATTTAAATCCAAACTTCGCAGATAAACCGAAGCGTAGAGTAAATAAAACTCAGTTCATTCATTTATATGTAACGCTTCTCTAACATATATAGTGTTTAAAACATGTTAGCATAACCTTGATTAAAAGCGTTACTCTTAGTTTTTGACCTCTGCATTTCGGATTCTTTCAGTGTGTGTTTTGTGTAGTTGTGGGTCGGCAGGGGGCTTGTTTGGTGATAGTGTGAACCAATAGGCGTAGGAAGCAACAAAATATTTGTGTGGTTATAAACTTAAATGTGTGTGTTTTGTGCAGTTGTGGGTGGGGACTTGTTTAGTAATAGTGTTAAATGATAAGAATGGAAAACAATAAAGTATTAGTGTGGCTATAATTGTTTGTGTGTTTTTTTGCGGTTGTGGATCGGGGAGGGGTTGTTTGGTAATAGTTTTAAACAGTAGGTTTAGGAAGCAATAAAATATAAATGAGACAACAAGAACATATGTGTGCATGCGTGGCTGTAGGTCGTAGGTTGTTTGGTGATGGTATTAAATCATAGGCATAGGAAACAATAAAATATTAGTGGAGCTATAATCGTAAGTGTGTGTTTGTTGTGTGGTTGTGGTGGGTTGAGAGTCGTTTGTTGATGGTTTTAACAAACTTTTTTTTGGTATACTGCACCTTATATGAAGTATTCCTTGCGTGTTCAGTCGCATTATTATCCCTATAGTGTAGTTTAAAACTACAGTATTCTTTAAAGTAGGCAGAGAAAGTTCAAATTTTAGATAGGCTATATCCTGACTAAGCCACGAGGTTCCTATGCTTACCTGGCACTATCAACAAATTAAACATATCCGAACGGAACCTTACTTTAACTTTTCACGAGTTATAATGCTTGATTCATACTTAGCGCTTAAAACTAAACAGCCCGGCATGGCCAGGT